GTTGAAATTCTGGACTTTCACCTCGACAGAAATCATCCTCCAAAAAACTGTTTAGCTTTATAAAAACACAACTTCCTCGTAGGCCAAACTCACTGTTCTGCTGAATGCATCTGATTTCTGTGTTGGATCAGAATGTTAAAACTAGAATAAGCTAGATTTCTGAAAAAAGAAACCCACCGACTTCCCTCAGAGCTTCCTCGGAAACACAGCTGGAGGTTTAATCCACAAGAAGGAGTGAGACGTTTAAGCTACCTCGTGTTTGGACGACATCCCCCATCATGTCCAGCATCAAGCCACCAAACACTCACATAAGACAAATAGCTTTAAACAACCCGGCTGCATTGCAAACAAGATGGAGACGACGAAAAGATGCACAAATACAAATGCAAACTGCAGGTTTTTGTCACATCTAGCTGCCCTTTATCTGCCATTCTTGTGCAATCTGATCACCAGCTGAGTGCAGAGCTTGTGCAGGTAGACAGGTAGCAGGCAGATCAACCATCCAATCAGCTGTTCTGACTGAATGCGCTGATTAAATGGGCTTTTTACAGGCCTGTGACTGCCACAAATAACAGATTTGCTGATTTATTCGTTGCTGCCGGGACGTCTTTCAGACAAACACAACAGAAATGGACTACATCGCGTACTCTAGCTTTAAATGATCTCCACAGGCTCCTGCATCTTTAACGGATCCGGCAGTAAAACCCGTTTGTGTGACGTTTATGTATTTGCCTCACCTGTTTTACTGTTGTTGTTCCTGGTCAGCCAACGTAAAGAGCAGGTAATGAATATCAGCTGATAGCGATCAGCCGTAATGAGTGGTCATTAAAAAACACTGCTGCTCGTAAGATTTTTTTTTTTTTTTTTTTTACAGGATTTCTTATTTACTGTACGTTGTCTCCGGCCGTTGAGTGTATATCAATGTATTTTACAACCAGGGAGCTGATATCATCTCATCTGCTGTCTGGAGCCAGATCAATAGCAGCTTAAGCAAGATGGGTTTTTCTCACACACATACACACACAAACACACACACACACACACTCACGCTACAACACGTGCATACGTTGAGGAGCTCTGCAAACATCATTTCATACATGTGTAACAGATACGTCCATTATCTCCCTCGCACACGCAGAGGACAAATCACAAACATATATTCTCCATTTGTGTCAATCTTTTTCTCATTTTCTTTCCTGTCGGCGGACGGACGGACGCACAACCAGCCAGACAGACAGACAGTGGGACACACACACACACACACACTACAAACCCCCCTCTCTCACAGACACTCAGTCTCACAAACACAGAAAATCGAAATCACAAATCGGCTTAACTCTCCCTGACACGTCTGTGAATTAAGCCTTTCCGTTGCTCTCCCTTTCCCATTATAACGGCATTGTCAGAGGCTGAATCGGTAACAGGTAGCCCACAGCTCCTGCCGCCTCCCTCTGCCTCCTTCTCCTTCTCCTTCCTTCTGCCTTCTCTTCTTTGTCTCCTCACACACACTCTCTCTCTCTCTCTCTAATTCTTCCTCCTCCCTCCACCCCGTCTGTCTTTCGTCTTCTCCGTGACCTCCATCGGCTGTCTCCTTAATCACCTCCCTCCTGTCCTCACACCGTCTTTCGGTCTCTCTCTCCTCAGTTCCCCTTTTTCCTCATTCATCCATCACAGTCAGTACTGAGGGTTTCCATTCCGGGTTAGTTCTCACATTAAAAGCTTTTTACTCAATTGCTTTGTGAAAATTTGTACTTTTGAAGTTTGTAGACAAAGCATGTGGAAACATGATGCAATATTTCACAGTAAAACACCTCCTAGCATGAAAATTAGTCACGTATATGGACACGAATACTCTAACGTGTATAAAAACAATAAAGTCCTGCACCTCTACGGAAACAGTGCAACCACGACGACGCTGAAAAAAAATTCAGAGTGCCCTTTACTTGAAAAAAAGCTCGGTAACAATTTCCACACAGAAATTCTTATATTCGTAATTTTTACCCAGAAAAATGTCAAATAAAGTTTACGTGCCAGAAAGAATGTTTTTAATCAAAAACAATAACATTACTGACAATCTTTGATAGTAAATTTCACTCAAAATACTGTTGCATCTACTTGATTTTCATGATTAATTCAATAGTTTTCCTTTACTTTATTTCGAGGAATATTTAAGTAATATCTACATAATTCATCTACTACCTACACCACTGTTCTAATATGGATTTGTTGCATTTTTAGCCTACTTTTAATTAAATTCAGTTCTTAACGAGGCTTCTACAAATATGAAATACTTTCAAACAGCAACACTTTGATTGTTTTCCAACAGTTATTATGCCTACATAATAGTGAAAAGCCTAAACCGACGAGCATCACTAAATAAAACACTGCTCATTTTATTTTATTTATTTTATTTGACCTTCATTTTACCAGGTAAAAAGGTTTGAGAACCCGTTCTCATTTGCAAACATGAGCTGGCCAAGAGGCACCAGCAGGAACAAACACACATGTAAATTACAGACACAAATAGACACATACACAAAACATCGAACAAAATTAAACATGTAGGAAGCGTGGGAGCATTTGCATGTGAGTGAAAAACGATGTGCATGAGGTGTAAGAAAGCGTGTGTGTGTGTGTGTGTGTGTGTGTGTGTGTGTAAGTCTGTAAGTAAAATCCGGCTCATCAGCGCTGCCAAAAATATTCTCTAAACATTCACTGAAATGTGAACATTTACAGTCACAGTTTCTGATACGACGACCACAAGTGTAGCATTAAACTACAGCAGGAACATCTCAGGAGATAATCGCTCACTGCAGTCAGAACATACAGGCTGGTTAGTATGAATAAAGAATAAACATGTTTTAAAATCAGAGCTGCCAAAGACAAATTTCAGTCCATTAACAAAACTGCTAACAGTTAGCGAGGTAAAGAGTCCAACATAATGTCCTCAAGTCTAACTTTCTAGTAAGAAAACTCAGAAATGTCAAGAATAACACATTTATAATGCCATGAATCTGAAAATTGAAATAATTAGTTAAATTTCTTAGGGGTTTTTTATTATTATTTTACGAAAATTGACAGAATCTTAAATCAACATGTGCAACACTTTTCCCACAGCTGGGAACAAAATCAAAACATTTTCTACTCACATTTTAGCTTCTGTTTCCACACTTGTCTGCTGTCTACTCTGTGTAATTTCAGTCCAGTTCAGCAGGAGAATCTGATTTTTTTTCCTGTTAATGTTGGTCACAGCTACATCAACACCGGCTTCACATTTGTGCAAAAATATTTAGAATTTTATTTATTTATTTTTTTTAATAGAATCTGGGTAACGGTTCATTTTTAATGAATTTCTATAAGAGATGTGCAGAATAAAGTTAGATTTGTTTGTTGGGACAGGTTCAAGGAGAGTCAGAAAGTTGAAAGAGCTTCTTAGTTTTTATCATGTCGGGCTCTGATATATGGTGTTATTTTTTTTTTTTCTTTTTTCACATTCCTTTTAAATCCATTGACAGGTTTTGGGGTTCAGAGGGTTAAATAGACGTTCAGGTCAGATATTTAGACCATATTTCCCTTTCTCCTAACGGTAAGCATTTCATAAATGATCAAACAAACATTGCTTTTGTCTGTTTTGTGCTTTTAGTGGATGTGAATATTTGGTATCATCTCTGTGTTAGAACTAGTTTGTCTGGTGGAACCTAAAGTTTGAACACTAAAAGCAACACTTCCCAGTATCCCTCCCAGTTTACTTCTTTTTGTTTTAGAGGTTGTAACTCCAAGAAGGCTCACACGGAGCTGGGAGAGGGAGGGCGACGGGGGAGGCGGGTGAGGAGGAGAGTGAGCTGGCTGTGCTGCGAGTGCAGGGAGTCGACAAGCAGAGCGGTTCTGACAGGCTGTGTCTGCACAGTTTGTTCTCCAATAGGCCCACACAGAGTCACCAGTGGGGTGCGCATATGCACACACTGGCAAACGTGCACTATTAAAATGGCACACACACACACACACAAATAAGACGCTGTCAGTCTTATTCACACTCGCGCACAAACGGCGACGCACACAGTGTGTCGCAGGCGTACACACAAACACACAGAGTGAGAAGAGAGGCGAGCCGAACAGAGGAACAGGGCTGTGTTGTGTTGTGTGTTGTGTTTTTTTCCTCCCAAGGCTTCAGTGCTGGGGAAATGGAGCTATCATGACAAGGGATGAAAGAGCAACAATGGTTTCATCACTTTCCCTCATGTTTCACTGCACCGTGAAAAAGAAGCTTCCAGCGTTTTCATCCGCCCGTTAGGGAAAACACGCCGTGCATTACATCAAGAGGGGAGGCTGGAGAGTGAGGGAGGGAGGGAGGGAGGGAGGGGAGGCATCCTCTCCCAGCACTCAGACCTGCACCGCTGATACACCAGCAGCACATATCGATGGTTTTGATGGACCAAAGACAGTAGAGTGCATCGATCTGAGCGTGTCCCTGTGTTCTGTAGCTGTTTATTGACACTGTCCCTGTTTCCTTCCTCCTCTCTGGCTGTGGCGTCCTCGTGTCACCTCTGCCTGGACCACACCCTTCGCTCTTCCTCTGCTTTTATTGCTTTTCTTCCACCTGTCCTCCTGCTCGGGCTGTAAGGTGGTTAGCACCGTCACCTCGCAGCTAGAAGGTCGCCGGTTCGCCTCCCGGTGATCTTTCTGCGTGGAGTCTCCATGTTCTCACAGCATGGGTTCTCTCCGGCTTCCTCCCACAAAGTCCAGAAACATGCTGAGCTGGGACAGACTCCAGCTCCCCGTGACCCTAGTGAGGATTAAGGTGTAGAGATAATGGATGGATGATAGCACTCACCTGGTGACTCTGTGGAAGCTAAAAGCAAATCAGAGTAGTTTTAACTCTGGCTAGGATCGTGTGAAGTTTGCGTATGAGTCGGAGAAGGATTTTCTGCTTCCATCTCCATCCTTTCTTCTGCTCCGTCCTTCATCTCACCTTGGTGTTGTCCTCTACCTCCGTCCTCCAGGGTGCAGTGATCACGCCAGCCATGGACCACACTATGTCCATGCAGCCTGCCAGCATGATGGGGCCTCTCACCCAGCAGATGAACCATCTGTCCCTGGGCACTACAGGAAGTGTGAGTACACAGTGAATCCCACACAAACACCTCAGAGTTGACAAAAAAAAAGAAAAAGAAAAAAAGAAAAAATGCTGATGCACTCAAGGAGGATAACTTCAGTTATTACTGTGGGATTGCAGCAGCGAGATTTATGAGACGTTGGTGGACTTTTCTCTGGGTTTTGCCTTTTACACTTTCCCACTCTGTGATAGATGGACAAAGTGCTGAAAACACAAACTCCAGCCTCTTCTTTATGTCTCTGTGGTAATGATATTTCTCCTTAAATCAATCCATGCCCTACTGGTACAGTTACACAGACCACATCGATCCATTTGCTCATCGATGACCGAGCAAATATTGACAGGCGTCTTTATCTCCTCCTGGATCGCAGCTCGTGCAAATCATGGTGAAAGCTTCTCAAAATAACCTGTATCAGTGTTCTGAAATCCTTCTTTCATGAGAACACCACACTAATGTCGTACTTTAGATATACAGTCGTGACTTGATAATCTGACCCTTAACAATCCTAAACCTTGCTCTCCGACAGGTTTTTAGGAAAAAAAAACAGAACCCATAAAACAGCCTTAACATAGCGACAGCCTTGGATTCTGACTCCGACATGACGGCCAAGTGTCCCCCGACCGTGCTGAATATTCAGATATTCATGATTAATTCGGCCTGAATATCCAGAAAGTGCTATTGGGACCAGCCCTACTAGTTATTATAACAACTATGAACAATAATTAACAACTAATGAGCCTTCCAGCATCAAGCCCTCCTTGTATCTGGACCTCCGTCTTGACAATCCGACAGCCTTGCTATCCGACATAGAAGGAGTTTACATTTAGTGTCAGATTATCGAGTCACGACTGTATCTGTGGAAGACACAGTCATGTCAGGTCATAAAACCTTCTCTTAAATTTGGAAAAAAGGCAGAAACAGAACAAACAAGAAAAGGAACAAGCTGCATCAGGTCATTAGGTTGCTGTTGCTATGTCACTTTTACACTTGTTGATTCTAAACAGTATTACCTGATCTTATTGTCTGATGAGATGGAGTTAAAGGTGTGTTTGCTGACCGCCAGTTCCACAAATGATGCCGTCCACTGAGCAAAATGTGGGTTTCTTTGGGATTTCAGGCACACAAAAAAACAATGACCTTATACAAATTAGGGAGAGATTAGCCCAGTAGCTGGTGTTTTACCAAAACCCTGATAACACAAAGGCAATGCCGTGGTAGGCAGCTGTAAATGCACATGTTTGCTGGAGAAAATCAGTGTTTTCAGGGATCCTTCGAAATGTCTAAGACCTTGGCCTTTCAGACTCTTAAACATGAAAACTAGAATTACCACTTTCCAACAGTTTCATTCACCTCTGTTCTCTGTTTCTGAGTTCTGGCATCGAGCAAGAAAAGTGTTTTTGTGGAACATTACGAGGTCGCGGTGAAGCTGATCTTTGATCTTATGGATATAAAATGTCATCACCTCATTATTTCCTGCTATCAGACGTGTGAGTTTTATTAATACTTCAGTTATGGCCGACAACATGTTCTGTGTGACAACAGTGACCTTTGAATATCAACATCGAATCATCTTTGAGTTCAAGTAGATGTTGGCACCAAATTTAAAGACATTTCCTCGAGTAGCTCAAGAGAACGAGACAGTCAGATGAACAGACACCCGAACACGTTGTGTCTTGTTGTAGAATTAACAGCAACTTTATCCCAGACTATGTGAATGGGAGGGCAACAAGGTGGCTCGGTGGTTAGCTAGAAGGTCGCTGGTTCATGTCTCCGTAAGAACACCCGGGATCTTTCTGCGTGGAGTCTCCATGTTCTCCCCGTGCAGCGTGGGTTCTCTCCGGGTTCTCCGGCTTCCTCCCACAGTCCAGAAACATGTTGAGGTTGAGGTGATAGACTGGCTACCTGTCCAGGTGAACCTGCCTTCACCCTGAGTCAGCTGGGATAGACTCCAGCCCCCGACGACCCTAGTGAGGATTAAGGTGTAGAGATGATGCATGGATGGATGGATGGATGGATGGATGGATGGATGGATGGATGGATGGATGGACGGACGGATGATGGATTGACTGTAGATGTATTTCTGTTAGCGATAGGATTTCCTGGCCTGATGGAGTCGAGGTTAAGTAGCACGTATCCAGATACGTGCACAGTTTAGGATTATTGTGTTTTATGTAACCATGAAGGTTCGTTGCTGGGAGACTTGGGGAAACATGTTTTACGTTAACGGCATAACGCTGCGGGTCATTTAGCCTCTTCACAGCATTACATCACTGCTGGTAAAAGCAAACGGGCCACGTTTCGTTTGAAATGTAATATTTGTCCAACACATCTAATTCTGATTTAATCCTGGACGTTGTGCAGCTGTTTGTTGTGTTTCATGCTTCGGGTTTAGGCAGCGAGTCGCTGAACAGCTGCAGATGGGAGCGATTTGAAGTGAAGTAATTTTTTCGTGTAGCTTGATGGTTTCCAGTGAGCACTTTCACTTTGAAGAGACGTGTGAAAAGTCACTCCGTTCACCGTTAAGAAGACGCTCGGAGCACGATCAAAGTATTTAAAGACACTGGATGTTAGCGTTCAGACTGTGTTTCACCAGGATTTGCAATAGTGAACAAATAATACCCCATAAAATAAATAAAACCCAACGATGTGAGCAGGGATTAGACCCACAATCTTGTTATTGCTGCACATCCTGAAATACTGAGTTCAGAACACACGCCAACGGCCTGCACTGCTTCTATTCAGAGGACATCTTCTACCTTCAAAGTAGTCGAACCAATAAACTCTAAGTACATGCATGTTACAGCAGGAAGCCCAGTTTCACATGTTTTATTAACTACTGTCCACATACTGGACGGTTCTGATTGGCAGCCTGTTCCTTATTTATGACGTTTTATATAAAACATTTAATGTGTTTTGTGCAGACTACGTTGCTGGTGCAGTGTGACTCTAAAGGTCTCTGTGTCAACTTATACCTGGAAAAATTACCGTAAATTCCGGACTATAAGCAGCTACTTTGTTCACACGCTTTGAACGCTGCGGCTTAAACAATGATGCCACTAATTTATGGATTTTTGTGGATTTGCCTCGAGACCAAAGTGACACTGAGAGCGACAACGACAGAGAGACTGAGGAAGTGTGTGAGGAAGTGATTCTGACACTGAAGAAGACGACTTTAGTGGTTTTAGTGCAGGAGGAAGATGAAGATAGCGATCAATGACTTTTCCTGGTAGGCTGCTGTAGTTTTTATTTATTATTTTATTTATTATTATTATATGTACACACCTGGTTTTCTGTTTAAAGTCAGTGGGTGTGGCTTATATTTAGGTGCCTCAATAGTCTGGAAATTACGGTATTAAAATACAAAAACAAATTTGTGTTGATGTAAGTAGCTTCACGTGAACAGACAATCAGAGCCAATATCATCAGTTTACAGCTTGAAATTCATGTTGAAGTCCCAGCTAGTGCTCACTGAGTTATTTAAGTTTCTAGTAACGCTCATAGAAACCGAGGTGTCAGTGGTTTTAAAATGGTTTGATGAACTCAGTCAGTTTTTAACAAGTAATTGACGATTGATTGTTAATGTGTGAATGTAAAGTTTATATCCTTAAATCAGATCTAATTTAAAGTGTTATTGAACATGTGCGTTTTGTGGCTGTGGTGTAATATTAACACAGCAGTTGACAAAGCATTCCGAAAACTTCAGTTGAAATCCACTTTCATCATAACGTTTTATTTACAAGGTGGATAAAAATATTCACATACTTCCAGTCTTTTGGAAGAACCTGTGACTTTCCCGTCCCGTGTTTCTGAGACGAAATTGAAACCAAATCCGGTCGTATCTTCATCTCCCATCTTCATTTCCTTATTTGTGACCAGCTGTTTTTCCTTTTCACCTTATCAGCGCTGACATCCAGGATATCTAAAAGTCTCCATCTGCTCCTAAGAGGCGAGACAGAAAATTGAATGTTTAGAAGGAGAGCTGCAGGTGTCCGCTGCACTGTTGGTGCAGGTCAGGACGACCACGTCGGAGGCTTTTTATCTCGGGGCGAACATTGTTCATTTAGTTCCCAAACCAAGTACGCACGGAGTCAGAGAGAGATCTTACATTTCCTTTCAAGGAAGCCATGGCTTCTTAGGCTGTCGCCACATGTGCTCAGCCACGGAGCTGCCGTATCATTTGTTTTACACTGCATGCGTTCGCCGCCAAACACTGAGAGAGCGTATTTCCTCCCTGATCTTCCACATTAAACAGATTTCCTGTGAAGCTTAGCAGTGTGACAGGGCGCTCTGTTCTCCACCTTCCTCACTTTCACCCTCTAATTTCTGTTTCTTCCTCACACTTTGCGTCTGCCTCACTCCGTAAATCACACGTCAAATCTATCACTCCATCAGTTTCCCTCATTGCACACACACTCACTCACTTACAGGCGCTGGCCCCTAAACCATGAACTCCCCCCTGTTTCAGGATCAAGTCGACTTAGAGGTGTCACACAGTTCTGAAGCCTGACTTCCTGCCCTAACCCTGCTGCCCGGGGGCAGGCAAGCAGACAGCTTTGCTCCGGCACTGCGTTTGATCTCTCTATGTGTGTGTGTGTGTGTGTGTGTGTGTGTGTGTGTGTGTGATTGAAACAGTGCTGTATTGTACAGTTACCCATGTGTTTCCAGGTGAGCTGTCAGCGACTGTGACGCCATGTTGGCTCTGTCAGGAATGCCCCCTCCCTAATCTGCCCCAGCTGTGCTAACAGCCAGGATTAGAGACAGGCTAATCTATGATGATGGCTTCTGATGTTTGACGGCTTGTATTATAGGAGAAAGTGGGTTAAGGCACTCTCCTTCCCTTTTTCATTTCTGCTTTACCCTCTTTCCCCTGTTCTGCCTGCTTAGCTCTCCTAAGGCAACGTGCCGTGTAGTATGACTTCTGCACACACGGCATGCCACGCTCGATCATCTGTGGGAACTGAGACGTGTTTCCTGTAAAGCCAGATGTGAAATCCCTT